GAAGGAAATTAAGGATTTGATGCTCAGGTGGGGTGTTGAGGTGACCAGTTAGACATCTAGGTAGAGCTGTTGAGTAGCAGTTGGATGTGTGAGTCTGGAAATCAAGGCTGAGGTGGGGGTGGAGATAGAAGTTTCCAGGCTGCACTTGGGAACAGTACACAGAGCACAGTGATTCCCCTGGTTTCCCATCATCTCCCCTCAGCTCTGTCACTACCCTCTCTCTACAGCGGTGGAGCCCAGGTAGAGCCATTCCCACTTTCACCCCCAGAGCTCTGGCCCCTGGAGTCCAGATAGGAAGCCCCCTCCCCCATGGCCTGTCAGGACCAAATGGCCCCACCCAAGAGTCTCACACAGGCCTTGGAATGGGTGGTACAGAAGTCTTGGGGTTGGTCAGGGAAACGTGGAGCAACATAATCGGGAACAGGATGGCCCTGAATAAAGTCAAGGGGGAAAGATGAACAAAGAAGTGAATTCCAGAGAAGCTTCCAGGCTAAATGACCACTGTTGGATGTTGGCATGGAATGAGGGCAAAGGGAAGCTGGCCCCTGGTCTCAGATTGGGCGGCCTGGGGTGAGCGCTGCAGGAGGTTAGCTGAGGTCAGACACAAACAGGAAGTTAAACTGAAAAATTCTTATTCATGAAGCTGTGGTGCCCTAGACAGGGACACTGAGGAACAGGGAGGAGGTGGTAAGGCAGGAAGGGAGGGAGGAAAGAGGACCAGGAAGGGACAGGGCAGAGAAGACCCAGTGCAGCCACTTACAGCTGAGTGTCTCTGGACAAGTCCATCTATCTGATCCTCAGTTTTCCCAGCTGAGCAAGTGGCAGCTACTTCTTCCCCTGGGCTTGGGAGGGTAGCAGAGTATGCGGTGGTGGGTGTTGGGGCCAGGCACAGCCAGGACAAACACAGGATGGAGACATGAGGGTCAGAGTGTGAGAGCAGAGAAGCTCAGACTCACCTGGACAATGTTGCGGGGAAGGGCCTGGGCCCCAGCCTCAGACCTTATTCATCTTCTAGCTCAGGGGTTCTCAACCTGTGGGTCACAACCCCTTTGGCTGGTCGAATGACCCTTTCACAGGGGTCACCTAAGACCATCCTGCATATCAGATATTTTCATTGCGATTCAGAACAGTAGCAACATTACATTTATGAAGTAGCAACGAAAATAATTTTATGGTTGGGTCACAACATGAGGACCTGTATTTAAAGGGCCAGAAGGTTGAGAACCACTGACATACAGTCTGTTGTGTTACCACCCTCGAGAGACTCACACAATACACCTGCATATGCATGTCTGCATCCTAGTGTGTGTGCCTGTACACACAACACAAAACATGCCCATGTACAATACACACAGACACACATGTACTACACACACATTTTGGACAAATGTTCACTCTCTGATTGCACAAGATCATTTTTCCAGGCTTCCAGTTACTCACAGGGTAACCTCTAGAATAGGGTTATGAATCCTAATGTAAATATATGATATGCAGGATGGTCTTAAGCGACCCCTATGGAAGAGTTTTTCGACTGCCAAAGGTGTCACGACCAACAGGTTGAGAACTAGAAGCTACAGCAGGCTGACGACCTCACAGGGGACAAGAGTCCCCCCACACACACACACACACACACACACACGCTTCCCATGGGGTGAGCATCAGTAAGCAAATCCCCAGGAGGAGCTGCACCTCCCAGCCCCGGCCTCTGAAGCTCCCTGGCATCTGTCTCATCTTCCTGGTTGTTTCCTCACAGTTTCTTGAAGAGCCCGAGCCTGGAGACCTGATTGAGATTTCCCGCATCGGCTCCTCGCACTGGGCCCTTTATGTGGGCAATGGTCATGTGATCCACCTGGCTCCCCCAGGTAAGGGGGGTTGAAAGTGTAAGTCTCCAGAAATTTATTTACATGATGAGAACAATTCAATACCAAATGCCACCCTGGAAACAAGTGTTAATTTCTCCCTGAGCTGTGCTTGGGTTCCCCCTATATCCGAGTCCCTTGGGGGCATCTCAGTGGCCCCTCCGGTCCTGACCCAGCAG